TATTATTACATAGTTACTTATCTGTGCAAACTTACTAACTGTGTTTTAGAGCTGGCGCATCCTAACAGTGTTTCCTTTTTAACAGTTCATCCAAGAGGGTTTGCGGAACACCTTGGATGCTTACTTTGGTCTTATTCAGGTAAGAAGGACAGATACTATAATAATGGTAGTATAGTTCAAAGTGTTCTAAGGAAAAGCTTACAGTGCATCATTTCATCATTTTGTTGGATGCCCAATAGTAATGGTTTCATCTTGTGAAAAAGTTCTGAACAAATGACAGAAACATTTTAGGAAGATAAATGAAGGCGAGTAATGGAAATGGCTTACAACTCAGTATAGACAGGACCTTTCAGTTTAGATAGTATTCTTTGAAATTTATGCAATATCTTGTTGTAGCCAGGGTTTCTTTGACAAATATACTTTCTTTCCTTTTTGAAGGAACATGCTTCAAAATATTTGGTCCAATTTAATTTTAACGCGTAACTGTAACAGTGGTCCTCAAAATGACATCAAAATGTTAATTTTATTCGCTTCCTTATCTTGTCTTATTTATTCTCTCCCAGGCTGAATGTCTTCGTTTCAAAGAGCTAGCTAGCGTTGTTACAAAGCTGATGCCATTTCTTCATCATTTTTGTGCTGAAAGTCCTGGCCAAGCGTTCTCCGCTCTCCACAAGAGAGGTCCTTTGTTTCAGTAAGTAACAAGAACAAGCAACTGAAAATTCAAACAAATCGTCCAAATTGAGAGAGACTGCAATCTCGGTGCGCTTGTGAAGGTTTAAAGGAACATGTCCGATTCTCTTCCGTGAGAATAATCTGAGCCCGCGGGGTTTCGTCAGAGACGGAGGTAGGTATCGACGTCATGCTGACGAAACAACTATCGGTTTGTTCACGATTGTTCAATCCAAACAAGAATCGGGAACTCTTCGTGTCTTCCGGAACTGCCTCGTTTGTAAGTTCGTTGCCGCTTTTGACCAACAAGGGAAACTTATTTTTATTTTTATTTTATTAGCTTTGCTTTTATGAAACCTTTTTAAATGCAACCAAGTTGGAAATTACCAATCAATACCTAGTTCTTTAAAATGATTTTTGTCCTCAGGGAATTGTTGCAAGATTTCCCCGCCCTCCCTTCCCTTCAATGTGTTGTAAGCGCAATCTCTCTGTCATCGACACCGCACTCAGATGATCCCTTGAACGAAAACGCAACCGTCGAAGGCCCCTCAGCTGACGGAGCTCCCACAAGTACAAAACCGACGGTCCGGTCCGTCATTACACCACCTGAGAACACCATGTGGTCATCAGCACAGCTCGCTCCTTTTGTGCAGCGGCTTGCTCCCGGACAACCAGTAGAAGGTACAGTAGTGCCATGTATTTTAATAGTCGAGCAACCGGCCCCTGACCAATCAGAATCGAGTATTTTTAATGGACCAATCAGAGAGCGGGATTTCGAACACTTGACTTACAACATGGCCGACTTATTTTTAATTAGGGAAAAGTATGCATGCATGCCCAAATATGATCAGAAAGGCAGAAAATGTGTAGTCCCCTGCACATTTTCTGCAATACACACTTTGAAATTAAAATCTCATAATTTTGTGATCAGAGCTTGAATTCTCCACAGGTTATTATCTTTTGTTCCCCCATTGTACCCCTCTTCTCCACCCCTCCCCCCGCCCCCCACCAAATTCTACTTGCCTTCTCTTATGTCAAAGAAATGAACAGGCTCTTGTTTTGTTAAAAGGGAAAGGTATCAGTTTGAATTCAGACTACCGTATACTCCTCTTTTATTTTTGCATTACAGACGTGTCGAAAGTTCTTGTAGATTTAGACGAAACGTCCAAGCGCCGAGTGGACATTTTAGATCATTTTGTGGTAAGTCTTAGTGTTTGAAGCCCTCTTGAATTTTGAGGAAGAATCCTTTTTTTTTCTTTTGTTTTTCCAATATCCAGTACCAAAAAAGCTGGATGACGAGGCCATTGTGGGGAAGTTGCTCTCGTTGACGAAGTGTAAGGCGTTGGATGTATAAGACTGAAGCGCTCTCTCGATTGTAAACGCATCTCGTACAAATCAGGTTAAAGTAGAAGTGACTGATACTTCTTAAATGGGGACCATTGGGTGTTAATAGCTTAAAACAGTTTTAATGTCATTTTTATTTGAAGTTGTTACCTCTTGTTAGCTTCCATCGCAAGCTCTTTTCAGTCAGCAAGTATGACAGCCGTCGGCAATCATTGTTGAGAAGAATAAATCTCTCCTTGTTTTATTACGTGTTAGAATATACTGTTTGGTAACAATATATATATATTTTTTTTGCCATTTTTTAAGCCTCACTTGGTTCGTCTTCTCTCTGACGTAACGAATACCTGTAGGACCCAGGCCCACACTCTTCTACTGCGCCACATTCGAGAAAATCCTGGGTACGTTAACTTTCGTTTAGTTTTGTTTAACTGGTTTATTTTGTACGTGGCTAAAATAATAATATCAGCTTTCGTTTCCTTGGTAGGACTGCTCACAAGTTTGTGGACACGTACATGGATTGTCTTAACTCGACGGAGCCTGGCGTGATTTTGACAGCAGCAAAATTTATTCCCGAATTTATTGTCTTGGGAAATGGTCAGTAAACACATGGTTCAAATTTCTGCCTTAATATCAATAATTTCATATATTTTGCGTTCCGTAACATTGAGATTCAATTCCGATTTCTTTTGAGTCGAAAGGGGAACAAATTCTTTCAACGTCTTTGTAGGACAACTGATACTCTTGACATTTTTGTGCTGTGGGGATTTTCATCCTTGTAAAGTTTGACGAAATATGAAGTTACTAAACCATTTTTGAGTCATCTTCAACGCTTAACACAGTAGCTAGCGTGCTGAAAACCCTCAAGACGGCTCTGCTTGAGTTTTTGAAAAGGATGGATAAGAAGCTAGTTTTAGTCTTCGAAATTTGATATAACTCCCATTGATTTATCATTTATCAAGATCTTGCTTGTTGGAACAGCTTCAATTTACGCGTCAATATTAGGATTTCTTTTATCTCGCCTGCACCTGACAACCTTTGACATAAAATGCCGACTAGTTGCCTTTTTAAATCTGAGATTTGTTGCTGTTATGTTTGGTCTTCTTGAATAAGTAAATTAAGATTCGTTTTGCCAAGCTCGTTCCCAGGATCTTTCATCTTCCCGCGGTAGGGTGGGAAGATGAGAGAGACCCTGGGAATGAGGTTGCCGTTTTGCAAGAATTCGATTTGGTTTTGATTCAATTCCTTTTCTTTCTCATTTTCAGAATTCTCCGACTCGTTGCTTCAAAAGATGTTCTCTCTTGCCGTTTACGATGCTCATGATGTGGGAATTCCCTTACTACAAAGCATTCAACTGCTGAATTTACACTGAATAACAAATGCGGATTTTAAATGACAAATAGAAGAGATTTCATTGTGGTGTCAGAGAAGGAATGTTAGGATTGATAGTGTCAAAAACAAATGCACCTCAATCATCCTTGTCGTTTACTCAGCTATCAGATTAAACGAACATTTTAAAACACCAAGACGTGGAGCATGTGACTTTTTGGAGCCTATAGAAGGACAGTCGCTGATACGACTGCGCAAAGAAAGAATGTGAAAATACTAGAAATCGTCTTTTGGCCTATCGTTAATTTCTGTATCGCCAGTTTCTAGCTCGATCAACTTCACTGCATTTTTAAAGCTGTCAAATAAGTTGTCTGTTACTGAGGGGTTAGAAGCTATTATAGTGACACTCCTCAGGCTCTTCTCAGTTTCGTAACCCATTTCCTCCCTTGTCCTCACTTGCGACGCAAACATAAGCATAAGAAGCTTATGCGCTGGTGAGGACGGCTGCGATATAATAGCATAAGCGTTCTTGTTCTTATGCTTATGCTTAGGTCGGTGTTATGTCCAATGAGGACATGGTTGGCTTAACCATGAAGTGCTCGCTGATTGGCTGAAAGTCTTTCGTTTATGCTTCTGCTTATGTCAACATGTCCTCACTGGATATAACAGCGACATAAGCACAAACATAAGCATAAACATAAGCATAAGAAGAAGGCAAGGTTTTAATATGCTTATGCTTATGTCTCGGCCGTTTTCACTAGCGCATAAGCTTCTTTTATGCTTATGCTTAAACTCATGCTTGCTTGGCAACTGAGGACCGGGCTCAAAATAGCACACGAGGGTCGTCTGTGCACTTCTCGTGCGTCCGGCTTTTTCGCCTTTCACTGGAAAAGAGCTTGAGCATACGAAGAAACACCTAAAAACACCTTGGTATCACCTAAGTTAGTGATGAGCAAACTGCATTTAATTCCATCTGAGCTGTAAAGCTCAGAGGATCCTGACTACTATCAAATAAGGCGACAAGCATCCGAGGAACTGAAACTAAACTCCAGTTACTTCTACTTCTTCCATATGTCGTTAGGTTTATGCCATTATTATGTTCCGGTTATGTTGTTATGTTGAGTTGTTCACCCTGGTGACGAAAATTAACGACAACCAACCTCGTTCTCAGGGTCCTCTCTCTTTCTCTCTCGATCGAGGGAGGACGAGAGAGAATCCTGGGAACGAGATAAAAACAACACGTTTTTATTTTTTAAGTTTTTTTTTTTAAGTTTTTTTTTTTCGTTTGAGTGACCTGTCGCTATTTCGCCAGTGCGAAACAAGAAGAGAAGAAGTCAGCGGCTGTCAACATTCGCTGAATACGTCCAATAGAAGGCTATAGAAAAGCCACCGAAATACGCACGCCTTATTGCAAATTATCTTCACAAACGGCGAAAGAAAATCAGCAATATTTTTCTCGATTTTCATTATAGCTGCATTTGATTTTTTTTCGGACGATTTTTTCATAATATCATGCTGTTCATTGGGTATGAGAATACTATTATTTATAGCTATAAAGTGGAGATTGCAACTGCAAGATTTTGTGATAAAGGTTTTAATGAAAATTTATGAATATTGAACTGCCGACCGAAAGTGACGTTCACGATGGCCAATGTAGTACAGTATTGACAAGCATGTTTTTTTTCTTTTTTTTCTGCCATTTGTGTCCAGCTATTGTTATTATTGTTATTATTTTTCTCCACCTGCTAAGTTTGCGCTGTTAGGTGTTAGGTTTTCGTGAGAGAAATAATATGCATCGTCTAAAGCTAGCCTGGAAAATCAATTAACAACTTGTACCAGTTACCGCAAGAAAGCCGGTCGACATCGTGTGTAGAAGCATGGTCGTATGTTCCACGGCACTGTGTTCATCATTTTAAAATTCTAAAGCTTTGAATGCTGTAACAATTTTGGCATTTATATCGCCAGGAAAACTGATTAGACTTGTTTTCAGATAACGGTTATTCACAAAGATTGGTCTTAAGCGCGGGTCAACAAATATATGTCTGACATGAGATTCACCTTAAGAGTAAGAAAATATTTACAAACAGTGTTCCAACAATTTTAGGACGCTTTTTAATGATACTTCTAAATTGTGCAGGAGGTCTTAAATTATTTTTTTGCAGACATCTTCGCTGGTTGACTTGCTACATGATTCTCTTTTACTCGGCGCCCGACTGTAATTTCCAAAATATAGGATTGTTTGTTGTGTTCTTGCGACCACACACCATCCACATTTATTACGTAGCTAACAGCAGCTCTCTTTAGCTTAGCTGCTCTCCTTGTTATATTTTTCAACTGTCTTGTCCTCCGAATATACCGTTGTAGAGTAAACTAGTGATCTTATCACAACTTATCTTTCGCCGAATCCGTTCTTTTGTATTCAGAATCTCCGAATACACAACATTATCCCGGCGAACTCCATCTCGACTTAAGCACTGTTCCTCGTAAATATTCTGTCAAATCAAACACCATGACCTGCGGGAGGGTTAACTGTTTCGGTCGATTTTTCGGTTCCTTTAGACGGTGTACCGTAAACCCTTTTTCTGGCCTCTTGCCACATATTTTTACACACATCCCGCTGCATTTCGTTAAACAAGTGTTTCTCGACCTCTGGAGCAAGTTTTTTGAAGACTTTTCCTTTGCGCTGTGAGGTCGGCGACTGTCTGTTACACAATCCTTCGGCGACTTCTAACAACGAACTGCTCTGTCTAGCTGCTTCCGATTTGCAAGCTTCTGAAATCTTGACGAACATATTTTCATTCATGTCTTCCTCCAATTCAAATGAGAAGCTTCTTCCCATTTTGTTCAGGGTATTTGTACGTTGAAACGCCGGGTCCGATTCGCTGAGAGCTCTCGTCTCTTCCAAATGGACCTGTTCGCTGCTCGTTAGTTCATCCATATTTCCACCTTCTCTCAACACAGCGTCTCGATCACTGTCTTCCGCGGCAGCATAAACCTCTGCTAATCTGCATAGTGAAGCCTTCGAAACGTCTGGATTGCTTCTTATTTCCATAACATAATTATATTCTTTTGTCCGCAGATCTTTATGATACCCACGCCAGGCATAAAATTTCGATTCTTCCGAGTCCTTGAAGCACACCTTTTAAGTCCCTCTTTGATGTTGTAACACGGAACGCCAATCTGTAAGTTTCAACGGCCTAAATGAAAACTTCACCTTCTGCAGAGATGATTTTATGATCTCCAGGGCATTGTGCAGTGATTTTGCTGTAAATCTTACTACGTGATAAAAATATACGGACCAAGAGTTCTTTCTCTGGGGTATTCACGATTTCAATTCGTTGCAATCTGTAACACAAAAGAACATTTAGTTGACGGTGAAAAGTGCTTGGCTTCTTTGTGTATCAAAGTACAAACAGTGGAATTTTGCTCTTTCGGCAAGCTTTGATCTTCTGTTTTCGAAGTGGCTTTTTGAGTGCGAAACACGAGAAGTTCTTTGTGATGGGCAAACCTCAGTCAATTCGATCACAACACCGCTTATTACTCTATCAACAACGGTCATTTGCAGTCGTTTGGGAGCTGTGATAAAGATCTAACATCCAACACCTGCGAATGGTATTTAAAAACAGATAAAGAGCGACAAATTCCTGGTTTATACTCATTCATTCCGGCTATTTTACACTGTCTATATTGGCCAAGGCAATTAAAAAATCGCTTTGTCCCCAACGTTGAAATCATTTCCTCGATTTGTGGGCGAAAAAAATACAAAAGTACATTTAGATTTGTTGTGTTTCACGTCTTACTCTTCATTTATAGCTCGAGGGGAAAGTTTTAGAGATGAAATACCGCACAATAAAGCCGGCTCAGAGCAATAACCTTATCTTGAAACAAATCTTTATTTGACTAACGATATAGCCAAACTCTAAAGTTTCATTCTCGTGTTCAGGAAACAATGTTACAAGCGATGACATGTGAATGATTAATAACCGTTAATGTTCAGTTCACCAGAGATTCAAGACTACCACCGTAACGCATATTCCATATATGGTTGGGTCGTCAAGACGCTCAAAGCCAAATATCTTTGCCAGTGTAGAGCGCCTTTGCCACGAATTGTAAACCACCCAAGAGGCAGGTGGAAATAAAATAAAAATGTAATTATATTTTGAAATAAAGGTGCATTGAATCGCATTATATCGAGCCACATGGAGTGCTGATTCGGAAACGAAGCACACAAAGCTTGATAGATTTAAAAGAGAGCCTAGAGCAACGCAAACATTATTGCCTTGAATAACTTTGTCATAATATTCTAGAATATTAAATCGACAGGCAACGATAGGGATCTTCACGTAGAATTTTGGCATCTCTTTCAATTTTATGTATGTTGTAGAAAAAGGTCACACTAAAAAGGTTCGAGGTCAGTTATTTAATGGTATAGATTTCTCATATGGAAAATACCACATAAGCCGTTTGTGATTCTTGTTATCAAACTCTTACATGACTTTGATTCTTAAAATACTTTAATATAAATAGCTCAAGATTTTCTTAGCTCTTAAATTTTCTTAACAACTTAGGAGTTTCCTTTTAAGAAGAACCAAGAACTTGCAGCTTAAATGCTACTGATAAAGTCAGAAGTGCGGCAAGGTGAAATATCGCGGCGTTCATATGCATAACGAAAGCTCAGTGATTGAAGCTGTGATGCCAGTCAGGCTGAGATTAAAAGACTTCCTTCTCTGTGTCGATAATCTCGTTTTAAGACACCGACAGTTTTAAGATACTTGGAAGAATGTGAAGAATGTCTTGAAAAAATTGAAAAAGGAATGGTTCGTAATGTGACATGAAATGGTTTAGTTAGTTTGTTTTTATTTTCTACAAAGAAATTTCAGCCGTTAGACAGGTTAGAGTTCTTCCTATCACGACATTTGAAGTTTTGTGTACTTTAACCGCAAGTCAGCAACTCATTTTCATTCTAGTACGAGGTTTTCTGTCGGGCTTACGCCGTTGAACCGTCTAGGTCGTCTAGCTTATATGTGTTACTTCCACAGTACGCCGGAAGAGTTTGAAAACGGAGGTTTCACTGTGAATACGTATCAAATGTTTTTCGTCCACACTACGCACGGGGAATTTAAAAACGCAACAATCACCGTTCATTTTGGATTTGTGTTTGAAAAAACCTCGGTGCTCAAGGGAAAGCACATGCTTATCGTGACCTTATCCGAGTCGTTTTCGAAAAGCTTCGTTTTCAAAATGAATTCAGTCCAAACGAAAACACAAGGCCAGCGTTTTCAAATTCCTCTTCCTTTGAAGAGCGTTTTCGAAAAGCTCCGTTTTCGTGACGGATTAGTGTGGATGGCAGGCCTAACCGTAGAAATAAAGCCGTGTTTTCAAATTCCTTCAGCGTTGTGTGAACGCTGTCTAAAGCAATTTGAGGGCATCAGGAGCTTAGGTGGGACGTCTAAAACCACGGTAATCTTTAGCTTTCCCTTGTTTATGTTCATATATTTTCCTTAAAGCATTAAGTATCCTTGGGAAAACTGGAAAAATCATAATTCGTCAGTGTTCTCAGCCTTGAACTTGACGAGCTCGGGATTTTTGCCGGCCTTGGCGGGGAAACAAACATGATTGTTAATCCCTCGGATTATCTTCGCGCGGAAAACATCAAAAAAACTTCTAGACGTCGACCTGATTCATACTGTAACTGTTCTTACTGGGTTATCCCCTCCAACCCCGCAGCTTCTCAAGATTAAACAACAACAACAGAGGAGACTAACTCTTTGCTGTAAACGAAAACAAAGTGTTTCTCTTGACTGTACAAGGTAGTGTCATCGACTTTTGAGCTGACTGTAGCTGTAGCTAATAGAACCTGGGCCACGTTGGTGGCAAGCGTTCACATTACTACGCCACCCCGTCTCCCCTTACAATACGATAGGCTCACCAAAAATCTCTCAGAAATGGTTTAAGTTTCCTAAAACAGCACTGACCACCACTCACCTGGCCATGAAGATACAGCTGTATCCGGCGAGGACAGAAATGAATCGTAATACAACAGGTAGTCCAGACGTACTGCCTTTGTGGGGTTAATTTATCAACAACCGAGCCAAACTATTTATGGAATAGTACAAAATAATATTCTTACTCCTTATTACCATGGTCTTATTTTTTTTTTTCTCCCGGTCAATATTTGGTCTATTTTGCTGCGTTTCTCATCTAGTTCGCTTGCCATCATGGCTGCATGGGAGCCGTTATCTCAGAGTTATGGTTCAAATGGCGTTTTAAAAGAATAAAATATTGTAAAACAAAGCCTGCATGCCTTTAGCTGAATATCTCCTTGTTTGTCCTGGCTGGTTAAAACGGCATTCTGTTAAAGCGGATGGCACCTCTGATAGTAATGATATCAAGGCAAAACATTAACGACATCAACTATTACATAAACATTTTGGCTTGGTTGTTTATAATTTAATTCCACAAACAGTACAAGAGTCTGGGCTTCCTGTGGTAATATGAACAAACTTCAGTGAAATTGTGGTGCGACACTTTTTCAAGTTTTGCGTCGCCATATATTACTGTCAAACTTCAGAGCAAAGCTTCGCTGCAACACGTTTGACGTTGCTTGTAAAATGTGCAGCTATAGTTCTCACAGCAGAAGTTGCCAAAGTGTTTATTCCATCATGACATCGATAAAGTAAATCTGCATGAGGATTTTGTCGCAATTATTATGAAACAGCTGATTGTTCGTCCGGGTGTTGGGCGGAATTTTCTTCAGATCGCACATCTCTGTTTTTGATCAGCATCGGGGAGGACGGGGTGTACTCCCTTATATGGGCTTTGCAAGTATGTGCGGCCCCAAAGGGTATGGTATTTCATCCATTTTGGTCATAAGTACGATATCGATTTTGGCCATTTTGGTCTTAGATAGTGTATAGTTTTTGCACTCTGGTCTTGAATTGGGTATGTTTTTAGAAGAGCTAGTTTTTCATCATTATCGATAAGACAGTCAACAAAAGCCCTTCACAAATGATGTTTACGGCAACTGGGTCAGGTCATAAATAGTCAGCATATGTGTTACAAAATTGTAATTCGCAAGTGTCTGTAATTACCCCAGCTTAACCCGATTAGAGAATTCATCTGTAAGCTGCCTTAATCGGGTTACTTCAAACTTCTAATCAGCACATTTACAATTTCCTGCTTTTGCTAAATGTTTCCGTTATCAAGATTTTCTACTGCAACATCTCGCAAATAATTCAGTTTCTTTCTTTAAAAAAAACTCCAGCACTGATCGGTGATGTTTTTTACTTCTCGGTAACATTTTCTTCAAGCTCACCTTCGGCTTGCCGATTAAGAGGACCCTGCACATTCTGCCAAACTTAGTCGAGTGTTTTCTTTGCATTGAATTTGTTTGCATTAAGCTATATAAACATAAACGCGTATGAAGTTTGTTCTTAGAAAAACCAAGAATTATCGTGTTTACACAGTATGCTATACTGAACAGAAGTTCGTGATGTTTGGGTGCGTGGAAACTTCGAGTTAAGCGTAAGATAGCCGGATATTTTCAAACCGTCGCTAAGGTCATGATCACTTGTACCGTGGTAAAAAAAAAAATAAATGCTCTGCGGTTTTCTTGTCAATTTTAGAGTTCTCAAAAGTAGCGGCGATCGTATGTGTGGTGGGGCAAGTCAACTCTAAATTTGCTTCCACGCAGAAGGATGACAACTGAATATTTCCATAAATAAGAGTCGGAAGAGAGATATTCTGTTATGGGAACACTCACCAGTGAGGTTCTGATTCTTATCATTATGTAATCAAGAAAGTACGAGCAGACACGTGTTTTGCAAGGAGGATGTCCCGTTCCTAAGCAACGTTTGACGAAGACCGCGGGTCAGTCTATTTAATCTCTGGGAGGATTTTTCCGGCCACTTATTTCTCTTTCTAATTTCTCTCTTTTCTTTCTCAGACGACTTCTTCTTTCAGGCTCTCAGTTTTATACAAGTTTGTATATCAAAAAAAAGGGCAACTTGTTTTTCGCGTGTTTTCCCGCGCTTGTTACTGGTTGCACGTTTCCCCGCATTGGCACAAGTTGCAGTTTTTCCCGCGCTTGGCACTGGTTGCATGTTTTTTCGCGCGTTTCGCTGTTATTGGTCCATAATGTTTTTCTGGGCTTAGTTGTGATTTGCCAGCCAGATGAAAGTGCTTTCTTTTCTACTTTATATGAGAGCTAAATTTGAAATCATTCTATACAAGCTGGTCTTTCCATGTAAATCATTTACTCTTTTTTTTTTTTATAACGTGGTATAACAAAGTCTTTCATGATGTCTCTGTTGTACAGTAGTCCAGCACCTCTTCCAGACCTGTATTTTGATTCGTTCTCTTATCCCGCAGCTGCTATTGTTTTCGGTGACATGGCCATTGTGTCATTATGCCTTCTATTGTTTTTTTAGCCAATCCCAGAACCTGTCTGGAAAGGTGCAGGCTTGCAGTATGAATATTAGTTTCAGCTGCTCTTATACATCATTTGAGTAAAATCTCAGGTAGATCAATAGTTTTGTAGTTCGAATTTTGGTGACGTCATGTGAAAACCAGCTATACATCTATTTTAATATTTTTTTTAGATATTTAAAATAATGTAGGTGGTCTGTCAAAGTATGTGGTCTATGACTCTTTTACGGACCATATCCCTATGGCATTCCTATGTTTGTTAATTTGTTGTCATAAAATTGTAATAAATAGATAAAAAACAGTAAACTACTCCTTCTTAATTCGCATGTTCGCATGAGCTTTTCACTTCTGACCTTTGCACCTAGTGCAGTGCTTACCTGAACCTGTGCTTCTGACAATCCAGTGCTGTTAGACAGTTCAGATCTCGCCGCTACATCAGGGTAGTGGTTAAGGAGAAACGCTCTTTCCATCTCGTAGATCTGTGACTTATCAAATGTCGCTCGGTAGCGCTTTTCACTGTCATGTCCTATGTTCCTCTTCGTTCTTTTTGAAGGCCTTTCTTTCTCGGATTTCTTTTGTGTGGTCTTGCTGTTTTTTCCTTCTTTGTCTGTTGATATGAGCGGGATATTACTATTACTCTTCTAACTGACCTACCAAAATTGTTGCTATAATGCCCGAGGGGTACTCCCAGAAAAATCAGCTAGGGCTGTGCGGTCCGCTTCCCAGTACCCCCACCCCATTTCGCACCAAAATCTGTTATTTTCCCTACGTTAACCTGACCAAAAAATCGATACTCTATTTAAGACCCGACCCTTAAATCAATACCCCGTTTCAGACCTGTCTCGCGATTAGTTACCTAGTTCAGACTGATTTAAAAGGCATTGTGAAAGGCTCTTGTTGATGGTCTTATCAATAATAATGAAAAAGCAACTTCCACTAAAAAAAACCATACCCTTTTTGAGATCAAAATGACCAAAATCGATACCCTAATTATGACCAAAACAGGATCTCGCGTTTTCAGTGAACCGTTTTAAATTCCAGTTAACAAAACAAATCCGTGAAGTTGTCCCAATCTTTCAGCATTTGAAATGATAATACTTTCCTCGAGTAATTACTTTCCCACATGAAAGTGGAAATTACGTTTTGTTCGCCTTGACTGAACAAACGCAAAATAGCAAAAGGAAACAAATAGGAAATGAAAAGACAGGGAAAGTACTCAAGAAGTTAGACATAAATAAGAGTTTTTAGCAAAAAGGTGTTTTCTCCACAAGTCATCTCAATGTTAGTTACGCAACGAAATCAATTTCACATACAAATGTTTACCACTTTGTTCAGTAACTCGTATCTGATAGAATTCATGCAGAAAGCCTGCCTTCTTTCAGCCTGCTTAAGCTAAAACATAGTTTTTGGCTAAAACGATTCCAGTTTCTTTTACGAGCTGATAATAAATGCAAGAACAGCTTTTGGAGTTCTGTAGCTGTTAACCTCTTGATTTCCTTTTATGAATTGTTTTTTCATTAAATTCCCCCGAGAGAACTTTAGGCTAATTAGTCCCGCCCAAATGATGAGGTAATATCTAAAAGCCAAATAACCTAAAGAATAATTATTTGAACCGGACCTTGCACAAAATAACTGACTAGAAAGTTCATTAAGACTGAAATATTAATCGCGTAATTCTTCAAAAGATTTTGTAGAAATTGTACCAATTTGCACAGAATCAGTTTTGTAGTATAGCAACGTATTAAAAGGGGCGTTAATTTTGCGAGTTACTCAAACTTTTGACATCTTGGCATTGCTTTCTCAAGAAATGCTTCCCAAAAAAG